CTATTCAAAAGTTATGGCCAAAGTTAAAGTCTGAAAAAAAATTGCAAAAGTGGGTCAAACTCCAAGGTCAAGGTCAAAAGGTCAAATTTTATGGTACCCCAAAAAAGGTTTTGTCACAAGGAATACACATGTGAAATATGAAAGCCATAGCTCTAACCAATCAAAAGTTATTGGCAAGTTTTTGCGGACAAACAGACAGACAGACGACAGGGAAAAATCTATATGCCCCCAAATCTTCAATTACAGGGGTAAAATAAATAAAGTGATAAATTTTGTCACTTATCATTACCAAAAAATTATTTTATTTCATTCTCAAAGAAATATTTCATTACCTATAATTTATCATGTAGTATTTCAATGCCCAGTTTTATACAAGTCATTCATATATCTCAGGCCTGTATGAACTTTGGAGGCGGGGGTAGGGAGTGGGCTATTATTTTGCCAACATATATTAAACAATTGAAAACAAAGCTAATATTTACAGTTGGGCCCTTCAGTAATCAGATAATAACGTCTGGTGATCTTTTTTGCCTATCAGCGAATAAAATTCTTTTAAATTATATCCTTTTCAAAGTCCCGATTTACTCTCCGTGGTAAGCTCGGGGGATGATACAATCTGGCTCATGGATACAAAACTATTGAAGTTCGATTTTCAGAAATGCTATAGCATTGCTAAATGTAAAATGTTAAATGTATATACATTGTAGTACATGTGTTGATTCGGAGATTTCGGTAATGATATAAATTAAATATTTTCGGTATTGGTAAGAAAAAAATTCAGTGATGCAATATGTAATGCACATCAAGGGGGGGGGGGGGGCGGGGTCGGCGATAAGCCCCTTTAAATTTTATCTCTCCCGTCTGCTCTTCATGCATCGAACATATCAAACATATTGTAAACTTCACTTGACCTAATAAATTATGTTGTGATGCGGTGAAAATTCTAGGGAAAATCTCAGGCGGACCCTAAAATGCACTATAATGTTAGTAGTATAATGTAGTATTCGAGAAATTTTCTTGATATACAATTGCATGTATCATTCTGTTAAAAGTGAAAATTTTAGACAGGACTTATTTCCATCGCATAAAAACTAGAGAAAGTTTCAGTTTCAGAAAGTCCGCCATATATTTTCAGATATCTTCTTGTGACAAAGCGAAAATTATGGACAGGGTTTATAATCTGCAGAAAACATCAGCAGCATCACATGACAAAGATCCAGTGGCCAGTGGAACTTACGACTAAGACCAAAATTTAATTCTGCTTACAACTTTTTAATTTACATTATATTGAACATGGTTTTAATCTTTTTAAAAGGAATGTAGTAAGATATTTTTTATTCTAGCAATTTTCAACAGAATCATTGATTTTGCAAAATTTTACAATCAACTTAAGTTTTTGGTCATAGTCGTAAGTTCTTTTGTAAAACGGGCCCCAGGGTATTAATTAGTACGTGGAGATTTTACCCTTTTTGTCATCTGGCGATCTGATTACAACTGTATATTACATTTGCATTTTGATGATAATACATTCTTATCATTTATCAATGATTTTCACCTCAATGAATTAATTTATTTTGATTAAAAACTGTACTAAATATGAAAGTAGCTACGTGCCATTTCTGTTTATCTTGCGATTTGTGTATTTTCATTTTAAGCTCTATATACAGTTTTGAAATAGATATGTTTGTACTTTTGTCTACTTTGGAAATGTTGTGCTTTTCTTAGACTCTTTCTTGTGAAAATACTCTGAAAATGCTAATTTTTTTTCGGCCGGTTTGATGCTTTGCACCAATCTCAACTTCTTATGTATATACTGTACCTCATATATCACTGATTGCTGGTGCGAGTTTAATAAATGAACTTGAACTTTATAGACTTCAAGACAAATCAGGCACCTGTCACTGTCATTTATTACATTTAGTAGAATAAATACATGTATAGATTGACGGCGCACTTTCACATTCAAATTCCCATTGTTTCTAACTACAAGTAATTGAATTCAACACTAATAAAGAATAGTTTCAACAAAAGTGCGCCCTTTCCTTCAAATTTCTGACATTAACTGTTATATTTTTCAAAATAGTTCAAGTCTATAAATCTGAGAATTTTTATAAGCTTTATTCCACATTTCAAATACACAAATATTTTTTTCTCCCTCAGAATTCTACGGAAGTGTATAATTGCCACGTAATATTTTTTTTAAGTTAGTAATTCCAACTTTAAAGTTAGCTTTTCCGACTTTAATTTTGCTTTTCCAACTTTAAAGTTGGTAATTCCTACTTTAATTTTGGCTTTTCCAACTTTTTATGCATGGCTATTCATACGAAAAACCAAGATTAAAGTTGGAATAACCGACTAGAAAGTTGGAATTACAAACTTATAAAAAATAGAATTCAAATGAAATATACTAAAAGCAGTGATGGTCATTTTGGCATTGTCTTGTAAAGTAGGCTTTCTCCTCTAAAATCTTTCCCCACGGAAAAATGGCTCTAGAGTATGATTTCCCCCGGAAAATGGACTATGAAGTAGGATTTACCCAGGGAAAAATGACTCTAGAGTAAGATTTCCCCTACGGAAATCCCAATCAGATTCAAATTTCCGGGGAGGGGGTTGGGTGGGGATAATCCTACACTGTGTTATAGTTATAGAGTGCCCCCAACCCCAAATAAATTATAATGCCTGTACCCAGTACTTAAATATGAGGGGATAGGGGCGACATATTGTTACAAGTGTCCCTTCTATATATTTTTTTTTGCAAAGGTGCTCTCGCAGTTAAGAATCTTAATAAAACTTCAGAAAAATTATAATCAAAGCAAAATTTTTGCATGCAACGTGTTAAATTTTTAAAATGGCGACCAGTTCCATTGAAACATACGAAGTATGAAAATTGGAAATCGTAAATCTCATTTTTCTCAGTAACTGCCCAACTAATTCTATTGAATCATTTAAGTCTTATTCTTTTCATCGGGTCAAACTGGTTTCTGCAAAAAATTAATTAATTAATTTAAAATAAATAAATAGATAAAATGAAATAATAATAATATATGAATTATGGTACAATGTAATCGGTTGGAGAATTTTTTAAAAACTATAGCCATAGAAAAAAGAGGAATTTTATTTTAAATGGATTTTTTTCTGCGATTGTGCTTCAAACATGTACATGATATTGATGTGTAAATGTCTCTCCAAGTTTCTGGAGTTTGAATATCCAAAATAGCTGCGTTACCATGGAACAAAAAAAAAAAAATAAAATAAAAGGCCAATTCCTAAAAATATGAAATATTGCAACACTTTAAGAGAGTATTTGCGCTATGCTTTCAAATCCAATATCAAGATCGAGGGGTCGAGGGGACATACTTATAAATGCTACAGCTTACAAAACCAATGTTTCCTGTGTTTTTTCTTGTTTGTTTATTTTTGTTTATTGGTTTTTTCCCTTTGAATAACAAATTGATTCAAAAACTCATTAAATGTTATGTTGAACATATCATTCGCAGTAGGTGCTGGCACGAAAAAGATCCCTCACTGCTCAATGGCCCCGAGTGCCGAGTATAGGTCAAAATTTGTAGCCCTCCACCGGCAAGTGGTGGCGTCTCCATATGAGTGAAAAAATCTCGAGAGGGGCGTTAAACAACAAACAAACAATCAATCAATCAATCTTGTGGTAAACAAGAAGACGCCTACCATTTTTTCTTTGATTGAAAAAAATATCTTAATGCTCGAAATAATCTTTCTGACTACCTTTTTCGACTTGATTTAGACATCATTGATGTACACCTACTACTCTGGGCAATAAAAACTTTTCATTAGAGTTAAACACTGGCATTTTTGGCGCTGTCCATAAATTCATAAATGAATCCTGTAGGTTTAGATAGATATATAATTGACAATTTTATTTGTTTAAGTTTTTGTTATTATTTTGCATAACAATTATTAATATGTGATGTGTTTTATTAAGGAGAAGAACTAGTAAGTTGATAGAACTTGTTTCTGGTCCTTTTGACTGTCAATAAAATATGTTCAAAACAAAATACTGGGCCGATAGAGGACAAACAAATTACATGTAAATCTCAAGAGTTGGCCTTATATACATTTTAAAATTCGTGAACAAACGGGTACATGTACCACTGCGCCAAGAGAGGTTTTGAAATATCGAGTCTTACGATTTTTTATAATTTCATATGAGTTAAAATTTTGGGTTGAGACGCAATGATTTGAACTACACATTTTAAGATTTCATACTAAAGAACAATTTTTGAGTCGAAAACACTCATTTTTCCATTGAAAAAAAATCAGTTGATTTTCATAATTTTTGTTTATCCAAAATATTGCATATATGATTTTCTCTCAATTGATAAATTAGGGGAAATCTTACTCTGAGAAAGAAAGAGGGGAAAATTTGGCTCTACTTTAAGATTTCCCCTCGGGGGGAAATCCTACTCTAGAGTACATATTGGGGGGGTGGGGGGTGGGGCTGTTCATGGGGTAAAATCTATTCTACAAAACCGATAATGCATTAATTTGATTAAGGATTAACAATTGATTACATGCAGATATCAATCAATTATTGATCTCATCAATTTGAGTTGAGCTCATCAACGGGGTGGATTTATTGCAAAAATTGATTTGGAGCTCGGTATAAATGATTTGTTGATCTCTTTAATTCAGTTGAAGATATCGTAATCTTACAAGTTTGTGAAAAGAATTAATGCTCTTTCTAAAAATATTAAATTAGTTACTTTAATTTAATTGAAGAAAGCAAGAAATTGCACGCATTAATTGACTTATTGCTCTCTTCAATTGAATTACTGCACGTATAATTCATTGTTTCTTGAAGAGAGCAAGTCAGTTATTGCTCGCAACAATTCAGCAAATTATTAATGCTATCAACAACTGAATTTCAGAAATACAGATATAATTCATTATTGAAAAGATCTTTAATTGAATCGATGCGTACACCAAATAAACATATTGAACATTTTCAAATATATCTTCAATTGTTTGAGTTTATTTAGTTCAGAGCTTCATAGATATTATGCTTTTGCCTCTAGTACAGCATACGAATTATCTATACTCGGGAAAAAATCCAGAAAGTTATGAATTTATTTTAAAAACACATTTTGTCATGTTTTTATCCTACCACTGAAGGAAAAGATGAAGATAATATTTTCTTAAAAATAGGAGGTGCACTGGACTGAAAGCTAATCAATTCAATCGAGACTATGGTAGAGTAACTGGTGTGAAACTTGATGTGGTGAATGTCTTTGGACTCATACAGCATCCCAACTCCTTCGCCTTGAAACTGGTCATGGCTATCCTTGGGCCACAGATTCCAAGAAGCAACACCGTATGTTAAAACTAAATGTCCATTCCCCATGGTAACATGTGCTTCCCCATATGCATCGTTGTGGTAAGTACCAACATATTCTGATAGAGGACGTAATGCACACACGGAGTCCTCTATTTTAACATACTGATCGTATGAAATAGATGAATACCATGGGTTTGGAAAACTACAGAATGTGGTTGAATTTAACCATGGTGTCACTTCAAGAAGTGTGTCAGAAATATAATTATGGAGCAGGTTTCTGAAGATGTAATGTTCGTCATCGCCCGTCATCGAAGTAAATATGCCCATGTTGAGATCCGGGAAAAGTGTAACCAATGAACAGTAACCAAACGTACTCCCAGTATGCCGCAAAATCCGGTTTCCTGACAAAGATATCCACATGTATATATACAAAGTGTTTTGGTTCGCTTGAGATAAAAACTCAAGTGATCATCAATTTTCCGGCGGCTGTCTGTCCGTTTGTTTGTTTGTAAATATATTACACATTTTCAATTTCTTCCCTAGAACCACTTGGCTAATTTCAATCATAAGGCACAGAGGCACAGAATCTCCTTTAGTTGAGGGGATTCAAAATTGTTCAAATGAAGAGTCAGGTCCCTTCCAATGGTTTGTAAAAAGGGCACAGAGAAGATGGAGTGTCTTTCTCAATATATAATCACCGGGCCAGAAAAGATGAAAAGTATTTGAAAGCTTCCTGACAAAGTGTAGATTCTAATTATATACATGTACACCACGGCCTCGGGGGTAGAGTGGAATCACAATTGAGGATCAAAGTTTTACATGGGAATATATGAGGAAAAAATCTTTCTTAGGTACATGTAGTGCAAATTCAACTTTGTTCAGATATTGCTCCCTCCCGGAGGGGGGGGGGGTAGGATTACACGGGAATATGTTGGTAAAAAATCCTAAATCTTCTCACGAACAGCAGGGACGTTATTAATCACATTAATATGCAAGCATCTTCAGGTACAATGCAGATTCAAGTTTGTTCAAATCATGGCCCCAAGGTGTAAAGGGGGGGGGGGGGGGGAAGCGTCATTTTCATAAAATATCTATGCATTGCAGCACGATCAACAATCTTGCTCTTGAAAATATTACATTAAATTTTTGTTTATTCTGAGAAAATGGAAATAGTCAGTAAATATCAAATTCAGGTAAAAAAAAAATGTGATTATATATATGTGGTTGCAGAGAGTTTACAAAGTTATTATAACTGCGTAGATATTTTTTTGGAATGAAACATGTGTCTTGGTATTTGCAAGAGGCATTCTTTGTGGCTTAGCTTGACAAGAGGTCTCGGTTATTGAATCTTATCCAAGCATTTGGAAGAGGAACATTACTTTTATCCCAGAAGTAATGAGCTGACCAACCCAAGTCTTAAGCCAACTATCCAGCAGGCAAAATGCTATAAAACATACCTGAAATCCATAAATGAGCATACCTCTATAATGACCATTCTTCCATGCAAACGCATAACTAGTTTCACTGGTAGACACTGGGACCTTGGGTTGTCGGAAGTATCTTTCCACTGCCGATGCCGGAATCAAATTCCGCGGGGTATGCAGATAAGCAAATGAGTGGAAATCCATTAGTAGTGACCCTGTTTTATCCTTGCCGCCATTCAGATGAAAGTTCATCCACTTAGCGTAATCAACGCCATTTGTTAGGATACTATTGGATGCGACCCATACACCCCATTTTCTGTTAAGTTTAACGAACAAATTGAAAGTAATGGACGAAGTAATTTCTGATAAATATCTAAATTATGTAAAAGGTCAGTGACTCAATACCAAATGACCAAAGCCAAATTTTCTGCTAGGCTTTGATCATGCCTATCTGTATACATTTTAAGAATGGCGTAGCTTCACGTTCAGTGTAATAATCATTGCATTTCAAGAAGATAACCCGTGGAACAATTAATAATCAAAAAGTATTGTAGTTCTTGAGGCACTTAATTGTCTGTAAAATATACATATCTTAAGAGTACAGTATAGATTGTTTTTACAAAATTCAGTACCTAAGCTTCGTTTGACTTGCACTTTCTGCCGAGAAACAACTACATGCAATTTGATTTCTTCCATTTAAACACATTGCGATTTTATTCTCTACTGGACATTGGGAAGGGGGTGGGGGGTGGATATGCTTAATGATGGGGGAAATTCTGCAAACTGTGTACAACTAGGACAAGGCGGTTATTTCTATGGTTTCTCATTCTTTTTTTTGGTCTGCGACTTGACCGTGAAAACAGGAAAAATAAACCTGCAATCTGTATCCAAAACAGTCATCAATTGTAAGAGATTTTTATCAATATTTTTCTTTCTTCTACTACAATTGTTGATTCTGTAAATTGCAGTATACTGTAATAATATTACATATTGTAAGCTCCCCACGGATGGCCATCCTGAAATGGGGGGGGGGGCATACAATGTACTTATACAACATTTCTCAAGGTCACTCCTATATTCTTGGTTCATGATTCTCAGTAAGGACAAAGCTTGGTATCAGTTCAAATATTGGTTTATTAATTCATCTTACAACAGGAAAGGATAGTATGGTAAACAAAAGTCTATATTGGATACATATAGATATATCAAGTAATATTTGTTATGGTCTGTGGCGTCAACCGTACTTTCAAGGGTAAAAGGGGTAGAAAAGTTGATTTGGAATTTAAAAGCTCTAAATATCAAATATCAGGTGTCCAGTGTGTTGGGAGATAATTGGCAGTTTTTCCTCACCTAGAATTTAGAATTTGGATGTTGCTGCTGCAACTTATCTGCCATAAACTGGCGAGGCGCTTATATTTATAAGTTTCTGAAGTAGTCATGTGACACAAATTAACGAATGAAAAAGCTGTACGGTGACGCTCGACCAATCACAGCATTGTACGGCGCCGTACAAACAGAGATCTGTCAAACAGTGCCAAACAACGTCAAACAAGGCTGCCGTACAATGTGGATTACAGCTACAAAACGGAATTAATATTTACATTTGCAATAATAAATAATATGATATGGATCTGGAGGATGTTTTCATCAACTGTAAGTAAGCATTTCATGTGAATTAAACGTATATTTCATGATAGAAAACTGCAATCGTACAGCAGACGATATTCAAATAGCTCTGTCATAATAAAAATGTGTAACTACTATTAAATCCCGTTTAAAGTAAAACCGCTGATAAATCTTAGTAAAACATCTTCAAACATCAATTTTGTGGATATTCACAAACAATTATAACATCGAATTGCATGAAAAAGTAGAACTTGTTCAAATACGAAACTATGGCTAACACAAATAAGATGTCGGCGGGATGTAAACAACTTCCATGACTCCTGCAATCGTGTGCACTTATGGCAATGTTAGGCACGTATTTAATTCAAATATAATTTGGAAAAATACAGTAACATGGAAAGGTTTTAAAGGTATGTACTTCAATTCATAGGATGGAGGATTTCCTGTATAAATGAATGCAACAAATATGTCAAATGTGCTATAAATAGACGATACCACGTTCTGTTATTATTCAGATAGCAGTGTAGTTTATGCATAATGAAGTCCACCCTGATAATAATCCCAATAAATGATAACACATTTCAGTCATATAAAAAAATAAACTAATTAATTAAATTCTACTCCATGGCCATTACACTTCCCTCACCCAAAACTCTTAATTCTCCTGAATTAAGTACAAAATATTTCTGCATAAAAAAAATATAAATTTAAGGCAATATTTTGCACAAGATAATGAACACACAATTAAATTTGTAAGATTAATTATTAATAAACGTTTCTTTTTTTAATTCAGTCATTTAATCTAAGTGGAATTCCAGCTTGGTCGATAATACGAATGAAATCATCCCACCGCCTCTTCCGCCGACTGCTGCCAGACTCTAGAAACTCCACCACCTCCTCATCCTCCTCCCCTGTTGAATGCCCTGTAGCTATGTTCCGCAAGTGCTTGTATAGGTAAACTCTGCTTTTGAGATGTGGCGCACTCAACTTCTTGGGAGACAAAGTGGGAGTTCCAGGCAAGGCCATGAAATTGAACTCGTCTAAAAGGCTGGGGCGCTCAATATTACATCCACCCGGCTGGCTTCTTCGTAGCGAGAGGGCCGCAAACTCTAACTCCATCAGCTTTTTATCAGGGGACATGGACTTAAATCCCTTGGGAGGCCATGGCATGGAGACACTTCCAGATGCTAACACAACTGCTTCCTCCCTATCCCATTGCCTCCTGGCTGGTGGTAGAAGTGGCATACAGCCCCTGGCCAGGAGGGACTGGGCTCTAGTGGCTAGTGGGCCAAGAGTTGGTACAGGAGACAGGGAAGAAGGTTGACAGTCCATGGAAACTGCTAGAACTGGTAGCGGTCCTGATGGAGTAGTTGGAGTGGCTAAAGGGATGGAAGCCAGTGGGGTGGTGGGAGCTGTGGCAAGGATGGCGGTCAAAGGAGTGGCGGAAGCAGATAAAGTCTGGGCCAGTGATGTGACTTGAATACTGTCTAATGGAGGGAGGACTGTGGTTACAGGTGGAGGTAGAGGAAGTTTCACAGGTAACCTGGGGATGGAGGCCTCAACCAACTTCAGCTTCTTCTTGGCCGGCTCTGGATCGATGGTCACATGGGGTGGTGTCCTCTCTACAACCTTGCGGCCAGTGGAAGGGGAAGGTGAAGATTCCAGGTCGGACTCCGCAAAAAGCTCTATCTCCGGTTCCTCAGGCAATTTCGGTTTAACAGCCCTCCACACAGCTTTCAGATAGTCTGGCTCAATGCCAAGGGAGGTGGCAAAGTGAGGAGCCTGTCGCCTCCACTGTCCCTCTTCCAGCTGGGAGAACTGAGCCTCCTGAAGGTCTAGATGTCGTTTCTGGACGGCCATCTTCCTGGTTAGACTAGCTACACTCTTCGGATCAAAGAGGACCTTGTCATCTAGTCCAACTTTGAAGAAGACATCAGCATCTTCAAGCACTGCCTGGATCTCTCCCGGTATTAAGTTGATGGTCAATGGAGTGAAGATGCCAGGGGAAGAAGGGCTGTACACTGCATGCTGGTCAACCGATGGGCCGGAAGGAGCTCTAAAATCTGTAGCTGCACTTTCCCACCCCTCCAGCCATGCACTTCTGGTCTTCCGAACCTTTGGCCCCGCAGAGGAAGCTAAAATTTTCCTGGTCCACTCTAGCAGCAAGGAACGCAACCGAGAGGAGGCCCTGGTGTTGCGGTCAGTTGGTTCCACAAGAAACCGATAGTGCTCTGGATGGTAAGAGAGCCAGAAGCAGTTATTCTCTGACAGGAGCTCATCAGCTGGTACGTTAGCAGAAGCTACGGCATCCTTATGTCTTTTCAAAACATGGATCTTAAGGTCAGCCGCTCTGTTGAAGGTAACCTCCCTGTCGGTGCAAAAGGGGCAGACAACTCGTAAGGCATGGTGGGGGGCTGGGGCCAAATGTTCCTTCAACTTCCTCCTACTGTTGAACTTAAGCCCACATGGTTTGCCATCCACCTCAAGGACACATATGAAGGACATTCTGCAAGGCCAATATACATTTTATAGGAAAGGACTCACAGGGTAAGGTAAATACTTTATTTCAACTCAAATGTAAATTTTTGCATCTAACTTGTATTTTTAAAGTGAGAACAATTAGTAAAATTAGATTGGTCTAATAGTTTTATCTTGGCTTTCTTAGGCTCATCAAGGAATTTGGCCGGGGTACAAGGGACTGGGGATTGCAGAGGTAATTGTGATTGATGAGTGGAGGATCTAGGATTCTATCAAGGGAAAGATTGGATGCCACCAAAGCTTAGTAAACAACAAGAACAACTATAGCAATTCACTAAAATTTAATTTCAAATATTCAGATGCAGGTAAAACTTAAACCAACAACACTGGTTACACCCTTGAGATGCACTGGCCAGCTACATCTCGGTATCAACCTCTGGTGAGGGCCATAGATTGCACGCATCCGTCACCTCCCTACATCAGAGGTGTGGGCCTTAGATGGTGCACCATCCGTCCCCTCCCATCACCCATGATGTGGGCCATAGACCGCACACATCCGTCACCTCCCTTCACCAGCACCAAAACATGCAAGTAAAAAAAAAAATTTTTTTTTTTTTTTTTTAAAATATCCCTGCATCTAGTTTCAATCATAGGTATGTATCTGTTTCCAAAATCTGGGGATTTTTTTCTTTTTTTAGTGTTCAATTCTCCTCTGCTGATACCATTTCGGTGGATTCCTACCCTTGTAAGGAAGCAATCTGTCTGTATGATAAACTTTTGCTGGCTGTTTTTCTGACCTCTTGACCAGACAGGTGACATCATCAATTTTCTTTGTAATAACGTAGGGTCCTTTCCATTTACAGGTTAGTTTGCTGCAGACGCCAACTTTCTTCGAGGAATCGTACAACCACACTGGCTGACCCTCCTGAAATTTTCTGACCTCGGCTTTTGAATCATAATACTTTTTCTGGTAAACTGAATTTTGTCTTAAATACTTTCTAGCTATTTCATGTGCCCTAACTAAATTTTCTTGTAATTTTAATACATATGCATCTGTGTCTGGAGTGTCACTCTCATCTGTTTCCTTGGGTCTTGGAATAACAGCTTCTAAAGGCATGACTATGTTCCTCCCAAATACCATTTTGTTAGGGGAAACGCCAATACTAGAGTGGACAGCAGCTCTGTAGGCCATCATAACCTGTGGTAAAACCT